CCAGAAACAGACTGGATTTCATTTCCTGACCTGTCACATGACTTGATGTAGCTGAGCGTGGTGCCCTTGAAGGGGTGTCTGCTTCGATGAGATCGTTAGTCTTAATTAGCTCCTGTTCCTGTTACTCTGAAGTGTAGTTTAATTCAGACAGTTCCAGGCTCTGCATTAACCGCAGTGAAGCCTTTTTGGATATAATGATGTTCCAGGCTTGTGTATCTATATCAGGGCTCTTCAAATCTGGACCTTGATTCCAAATCCAGGCCTCATTTTCAGTTCTCCCAGGTAGTTAGTTTAATAATTACTGATTCTGATTGGTCAGAGGCTTCACACCTGGCTCACGGGTAAAGGACGGAACACCAGCAGTGCTCGGTCCTCGAGGACCGTGATTTGAATAGCCCTGATCTATACTGTATGCTTCCCTGCATCAATAAGTCCTTACTCAATCGAGCAATCGATGCAGAAATGCAAATACTATGGAAGCAAATGCCAATAGACTCTGGGTTTTGAAGCTGTATTGCCTACTAAACAAGGCTGATCAGTCAAAGCTATGTTTCACATCCAGGGCCGGTCCTGAGTGCCACCTCCCAGAACAACAGAAAATACATTTTATTATTTAATTCATGTAAAAACATTGGCTGCAAACTAGCTAACTGGCACATGTTTCACAAGAAAAACAGTGAAAATTATGGGAAATATCTAATGTCACACAATGCAGCCAGAGCTATTCTGATGTTTTCGTTCACTCTTTTTTGCTCCTTAATCAAATGGCTCCCTAGACCTGTATAGGGCAGGGGGGCCCTGATCATGCCACAGGTGCAGTCCCCAGGTGCAGTCCCCAGGTGCAGTCCCCAGGTGCAGTCCCCAGGTGGCAGCGCTGAGGCCTCTCACCTCCAACATCGCCGATGTCACTTTCCTTTCTCTCTGCATGTTACATCTAAAGTGTGTGTGTGTGCGTGTGTGTTAGATCTGCGGCGGACTAGCAGCCAAGCTGTCCCTGTCCTGTGCTTCCTGGGACAAACCCCACGTCCGCTGTGACGCCACACATTGGAAATGTTCTTCTGGAAGAAGAATGAATGAATTTCACATCACCGAAACAGATACATATCTGAATGTTCTCAGTCAGCGTCCTTGGTAGACAGAATATCCAACACGGGCCACTAGTTACGCTTAAACAGGGCTGTCTTCCGAGTGGTACTGAATGTCAGGGCTGTCAACGGAGGTTCAAATCAAAAGAATTTATTTACCAGCAGACTGTCACACTGTGACTGCTGACTCAGCCTTTGTACCCTGAAGAGTAAGACTCAGGAGGAGTTTACTTCTGTTGGACTCTATTATTCTTCCTGTTGTGTTCGCACATCATACCCATGCAGCACACGTCCCATCGTGCTGATCTGTCACCTTTAAGGCAGTACGGTTTACCTTCTGTAAATAACATCTTGGGCATTCAGACGTCATTCAGCCCTATTCTAAGGGGCAGCCAGGAGCGCTAAAATGTGGCTTTTTACAACCTACTCGCAGCTCTGTTAGAATCAGCACTACAGCATAGCTTGGCTAGCTAGGAACTCACAGGATAGATCACAAGGTGGTCGCTACACCAGGACAGTCACCCATCAAAACAGAAACACGCAATTACAGTACTGCAGTGTAAATCAGTGGTGGCCAACTGGTCGACCATGATTGGCAGGTCGGTCACCAAGACATTTGTAGTCAATTGTGCAACAACTTTCAACTCCCCCCAACTGGCAAAGTATATCAAGGGGACCCCCCCCCCCCCCTCCCCAAATCATCAAAATATACCCCCTGGAAAAAAAACAAACTGCACATATAGGAGGTTGTATGAATAATATTTTGTTGGTGCAGCACAGTGAAAGCTGTTTCCCCCTGAATGTTAATATGGGCTCATGGACTGGCTGAAGCCTGAGAAACTCTCATTAACACTGAAAACTCCTGCAAATGCCCTCAGAGAAAACTGTGCAGCGGTTTGAAGGTGCCGGGGACTGGTTTCATTGAAGGGGAGAGATCATGAAGCATCGCATCACTGCCTGCTGAGGTGATTTACGCTGATGCAGACAGGGAAGAGGATATATTAACTAAGAGGTAATAAATCTTATTTGGCTCCTGGTGCCTCTTCTGAAAAGGGGGACAAGGACATGGTGGATGCGTTCATGGTAGCACAGGCCCTAAAGTTGCCATTGATTCCCGTACTGCAAAGCCTAGCATACCTTTAGCTGCCACTAAAACGGCCTAGGACCATGTGCATTATCCTCCCAGGAAGGGGGAAATATTTCCCATTAAAAGGAGATTAGGAAATCAATGTTTCAGTTCAGTACAGGCAGTGAAAACCAGCACGGGGGCAGCAGGGGGTGTGATGTGAACGTGTTTGTGAGCTTTTTACCCTTTGAGCACCGGCCTCTCACAAAGTCTCTGCACAGCCCTGTTGATAACTGCTGTCAGATGTGTATAGTCTGTTAGGGCCTTACTGAGGAAACATCTTCTGGGATACTATGAACTGTAAGTACAGTAATTAGAATTACATCTGCATTGCTTTTAGTATGTAGAAAACTCCATTACAGTTACCCCCAAAAAAGTGCCTTAATGAGTTTCTGGATAAATATTTTCTAGCTTGAGGCAGGGCTGGCTTTCTGCGAGACTCAGACACATTCAGATTTACGATTCACTCACCCCGACTTCCCACGTCATACAATCTGGCATTTGATTGACTGCGTGACTCAAACTAGACATATTCACATATGTCATGAGATACGGGGATGTGCGAATGGGTGATGAATGTCCAAACATGAATGGAAGCTTCTGGTTGGCGTTACAAGGTCGCCACAAATGCTGAGAGGTGCTTCTTCTTTGAGAATTATACAGTAGGGAAGTCGGACATTATTTATGGTGGGTTTTAAGTGACGTCCGTCCATCCATCCATCCATCCATCCTTCCATCCATCCATCCATCCATCCATCCATCTCCCAACCATCAGGTTAAGGTGATGTGCTGCCTGGAGCGTATCCCAGCCAAAAACAGGGCATAAGGCTCTCGGACTCTCGGGATGGAATACCAGTCCATCATAAGGCACGCATCACCTACATGATCTAGAGGTGGAAAGTTCAGGTTCAGAAAGTACAAATCCAGACCAAGATGTAGTTTTAACCAACCAGTTGAGTATAGTCACATCCACAGAATACAAAATCTTGGTCTGGATTTGTATTTTCTGGACCAGAACGTTCCGCCTCTGGTAGAACACTGCACTCAACATCATTTGTGTGTATACTATATATAGGTATACAATACTGTGTAAATAAAATGTGTTTATACATTATATATATTTATAGGCATATTCATTTCATAACAGACATAGACTGACGTAGTTCAGTGAGGCTCACTGTGTGTGTGCTCCTTTGTTTTCTTCGCAGTTCCCCATCCAGAAGGACTTGCCCTGTAACCACCCCCCCCCCCCTTGCTTTTCCATTCGCATACCTTCCAATCTTCCGGGGATACTTAAGTTATGCTGGGTCTTACCTGTTATTGATTTTGCAATAAACTGCACAGCCCACCAACTAGCGGCAGAGAGGGGAAACTTTGTGGGGACTCTGAAATGGCCCTTGAGACACATGCGGCCTTTTCTTCACGATGTCTGCAGAGGTCTGACAGCCCTACCTCGTCTGAGAGACTCACAGCTGGGTGATGTGCTCAGGATCTCCTCGTGGCGTCTTTGCATTACTATCCGGTGTTTTCCGGAACCGGTTCGGTTTAAGGGCTCCTTGCTTTCTATGCTCTGATACGAAGCAGTGATTCAGATAATGACATCTGGGTAACAGTAAAGGAGTCATGCAGATTGAGTTGATCTATTCCTCACAAGGCTCTGGCTTGGGTACTGTGACGTGATGGTGTACGGCAACACTTTAGTGCTGAACTAACTCAAAACTGTGCCTAGTTCAAACGTGTTCAACTAACCAAATTTGTAGTGGGTTAGATGGAAACTTATTTTGAGAGGGTTTGGAAGATACCCTCACAAGCAAACCTAAAAGTGAAATGTAAGGTGTACTACAATTTGACAGATAGTGTAACATTCTGGAAAACAAATTAATTTGTTTCTAAATGTGTGTGCAGTGCTGCTTCTCCGGAACAGGTAGTCATCTTGTATATACTTTATAATTATGGCTGCCGAAAAGCACACAAGTTTATGATGGATATCAAGGTCTCATTTTGCAACCTTCTGCATCACAGTCTATCTGGTATCTGTTCTAGGGCAGAGTTTTTAGAAGCCCCCCACCTTGTGCCCTGTGCTGCCTGGGACTGGCTCCAGACCCCCCCAGGACAGAATGAGCAGTGAGAAGATGAATGGACAGAGTTTCCAGTAGCCTCTGTCAAGATTTTTTTTTTTAACCACTAGATGGCGGCCAAAGTCAGTCACCAACAATCAGAGGTGGAAAGTTCAGGTCCAGGAAGTAAAAACCCAGACCAAGATTTCATCTCCAACCAGTTGAGTACTCTGTGACTGTGACTCTTTATACTCAACCAGTTGCTTGGAACAAAATTGTGGTCTGGATTTATGCTTTCTGAGCCTAAACCATCCACCTCTGCCCAAATTAGGGTGACCAGATAATCCATGTCAGGGAGGACACTTTGAGCTACTTTGGGTTTTACAAACTACTTTCAGGCTCCTGTGCTCGGCTAAATAGTTCAGCTCTTCTTGTGCTTTGACTGGTTTATTTCCTTGACTGAAAGACTCATCCAGCTGTTTCACATTAACATTAGTGACACATGTATGATTATAGGAGACTGACCAATCGGCACACAGCAAGAACTTCGTGCTCAAGTGAAATCCAGGTCCTTTTAATTGAAATGGTAATTTACAATTCCTGTCCTAGCTCAGAGTGTCCTCCCTGACGTGGATTATCTGGTCACCCTATCCAAAATCCAGACAGGGTCCAACATCCCACTGCCCCCCCCCCCCATTTCCCAGAAAGTAACAAAGGAGATTGTGGAGTCCATTTCCCTCTGGTGACACCAAATACTATATTTATTAGGGCTTTACAAAGACTACAAAATTCTCAAGATGATTTAAATTGCTGTCTCTGTCTATTTACATGATATGCTACATACAAATGTACAAAATATAAAACATTTGAAGACAAATGTTTCACAAAAAAGGGAAATAAACGCCAGAGTAGCAAAGGCTAAGCACTCACTGAGATGTCGTTGCAAAGAAGTTGGAGACGACTTGGTTGGTACAGCTGCAATGGCCAACACGGGTCTGGCTGTCTGAACGGCCTCATAACAGCGTGATATGGATGTATGGTCAGGGTGGCCAACAGGGCACGTGATACATCTGTCCTAAAAACCAGTCTGGCAGAGTGGGATGGGGCTGTGGGGCTCTCTGATCTGGGATCAGCTGCCCTCCTGCACCAACGTGGGCCCTGATCTGGATGTGATGTCTGTCCCATAGTTTGGGGAGAAGAGCAGAAGGCTGGCCTGTGAGTTTAGCACAGAAGGCAGGACTGTCCTGAGTTTGACACTGTTGATAGCACATCTTAAGTATTATTATTATTATTTATCATTTTTTTTGCAAAGCTGTAAACTGCAGATACTGAAACACCACAAAGGGCTGAGTTAGCTGATAGCACCAGCTGCGTGTTAGCATTAAATCCTGCTTTTTGGAATGAACCACGGCGGGCCAGCGGCACCCAGGGCTCTCCTCCCCAAATCCAGGTCAAATTGCACAGCCTGATAAACAGAGACAGAAACTGGGAATCGATAGTTGTTGTGGATAACCTGGTATGCAGGGGTGGGGTCACAGAGGCACTGGCCTCTGACGAAAGCTGATTGGCCCCCAAAGGGCCCCTGTCACTCACTGATTCAAAACATAACTTTGGCTATTGATAAGGTTAGCCCCTCTGTGTGAATTATATATGAATTATCTTATGCTCCCCACCTTAAAAAGTCATAGAATCGCTGCTGCCGGGGCACTTGGGTTAGCAACTGCGCTAAGGCATAAAAACGAATGAAATCTAATGGAGTATCCGACCAAGTTATTTTAACAGCAGATAAGCTCCAGTCTGGCTCTGTCCACAGACTGGTTGAGTATGTCAGGACAGATGCACAATGCCTTACTTCACTGCCCTGAACCGTGGTTTGCGTTATACTTTTGGTGAACTACTTTTTTTTTTTTTAAGTCAAACAGTGGTACATGCTTCTATATACGGTTTAGCTCCTGCATAGGCAAAAACGACGGATCATTACGGGACGACGCACACCTGCTAAAGTTTGGTTTGCATTTGTTGTTTTTTTTTTTCATCTGCAAGTTACAAGAATCCTCAGCAAGTAAAGCGTTTATGTCAATATCAACAGGGCAGGATGCGTCCGAGTTAATGTGCGAGACCTCGTATTTACAGTCTACCCCCACCCCCCCCAGAAAAGTGTGCAAAACCAAGAAAAGAAATGAAACTGTCCATATCCTAACTACCCACTCACCTATCCATTCTTCGTCTACCTCGTTCGGTTTGTCAGGGTGAACTGACAGAAACATATTCATACAAAACGAATCAAAAGTAAACTCTTTATACACGAAAGACACGATGCATGCGCAGGAGCTCCATAACTAATGAGTTGTGCTCGTGACCATTCAAGTGAATCCCCCAGCTCAACTGGGTTAAAAAGACGACATACAAACAATCCCCTCCACTCCTGTGTTACTCCATTTTTGCTCCTAGAAGTACTGTAAAAGAGTAAAAGTAAGACGAGACTGAAAGGATTTGTGAAATCCCTCCACCGTTTATAACCGCCTACGACAATATGTGCTTAGAGGATACGGATGCCGCTTTAAAGGCGCTTTAATGCGGCGGCTTTTCGGAGCGCTTTGCATTCTGGGTCTCTGCGTTCTTTGTCGATTTCAAACTGGACACTGCGGGAATTTTGTAGGTTTTTAAGGCAGTCGAAAAGCACCATTGTCAAAGTGGTTCCCATCTCGGTCAGGCTGTAAAGGACGAGGTCTGAGCAGACCCTGTCTGAGATTATTAGCAGCCACCAGTAATAATGCTGTTAACCAGTAAAGAGAGGGGTGAGCGAAAGGCGAGCTTAAGGGAAAAAAATATATAAAAACAAAGTGGAACAAAGGTAACAGTGAATCTGCGTAAACGACACGGGGAGCACGTGTCGCTGGGTGCCCTTGGCCGTAGCCACACCACGCGATTGGCACTTCATCCACTGTTTCACAGTAGTGTTTGTTTTGGATGTCGCACAACTATGCTCTTTGTGCTTGTTGGTGACCGGCCGCTAGGGGCCCCCGGCGAGGGCCACGGGGCCCTGCTTCAGCCGCGCGGCTCGACTGAGGTCAGGGTGGGGCCAGAGGGGGCGCTCGACGACCTCTGTAGCACCTCAGTAAACAAAACGATAATTCGCCCTGTAAACATCTGAAGTTAATACAAACTTAATACAAAATAAAACTCATCTGAGATTCCAGTTTCTTTATAGTACATCTATATATACACACGCATTAAATCTGTAATACGTCCGCTTCCTCTAATGTGCAGCTTGAATTTTGGCGACCAATAAGGGGTCCCGCTTCCAGTTGAGAATCGGACAACTTCATGTTGTCCCCCTCTAGTGTGAGTCGGAAGTAACTCCCCGTCACAGAAAGTGACATTGCGTTGAACCTGCCTCCCTGTGAGAACCCACAGGGTTTAACGGGGCTGCCCTCAAAGTGTCGACTCCAGCGAGGAGTCCAGCAGCTCATCGTGGTGGCTGTCGCCCTCGCAGCTCTGGGCGCTTGAGTAGTTGGCCGCTTCCTGTAGCTTCATCAGCATGTTCATCTGCAGAGGGACAGACAGCATGGCCGGTCAGTGGGGGGCGCTGTTTAAAAGCACTCGCACCCGTGTTTGGAAGGTCACATGAAACACTACAAGGCGATTTGTAGATTCTGGCATTTTATACGGCAGGATGTTGTACTCCAAGCACATTTGGCGGGTTAAGACTGATCAAGGTTGCAGGTTTGAATCCCAGGGTCAGCAGACTGATGCCACCATTGGGCCCTTGAGCAAGGCCCTTAATGCCCAGCTCCACGGACCCTGTAGGCTGGCTGACCCTACGCTGTAGTTATCAAGCTATACAGTGGTACCTCAGTTCTCGAACTCATTTGAACTCAAATTTCTTAAAAGTCAAACCAGTTTGAAATAAAATTACCTAGGACTTGATCTGAATCTCAGAACGCCGACCTAAGATAACTTGTAGGCGTGGGGAAATGAGTCACGCAGCACGTCTCTCAGCGGAAACAAAGGGTAAAGCTTCAGTCTCAGCCTCACATTTAATGTGTTAGCATCGTGCATGTTTACACTAGCTGAATTCATATATTTAGACAGTAAAAATACATTTAAACAATGATAGACAGTAACAGTAATTATTATATAATAAAATACATTTCAAAATAAAGATTTCTTATTAATTATTTTAATATTAATAATAAACCATTAATACATTTAATTATAATAATATTGTCATGCGGAGCAGGGACGGAACGGAGACAAAGGCGCAGACGTCAGGGTATCGGGGAATACGGGGTTTAATTACAGGTAAGGCAGGCAAAACGCAGACGGACAATACAATGATCGGACTGGGGAAACAAACTGAAACGCCGATGAAATACAGAGGACTAATGACAACAACTAGATACAGCTGATCACACGGGGTTAATGAGGGGGCGGGACACACAGAAGGAGCGGACGATAAGGGCAGGACACATTGTTTGGATACATTTGTTTCCTTACTTTACAAATGACTGTTTTGATACTGTAAATGTGCTTAGATGTGTTTAGTACAGTATCTGCTCTTCTTGTTTTATCCGGTTCATTTTGTGTTTAAATGGTAAAATATTTAGGTGTAATTTTTTGGGGCCGGGAACCAATTCATTGGTCTTCCATTATTTCTTATGGGGAAAATTCCATCAGAACTCAAACTTTTTAGGATTCGATCCGGAGTTCTGAACGGATTAAGTTCGAGTTCTGAGGTACCACTGTATATTTGTCTGTGTGTCGCATGGAAAGCAAGATGGAGTAGAGAAAAATACAATTCCCCATGAGGACCAATAAAATATTTTTGTTTTCTTTTCATTTCTTTTCTTCTCTTTTCTTTCTAAAGATACAAAGATGCCCCTTTCTGGGCCTTCACCTCTCAGTCTTGTTCCATATCTTTAACTGCAGCGCCACCTACTGCCTGGCAAGAGCAGAAGGTGAATGAACAGGTCATTCATCATGTGACCTTTTCACCCCCTGCCACTAACTATCCAACCCTGCCTTTTCTGAAATACAGGTGTAAACGTACAGCACCGTCCCCCAAGTGAGGAAGGGCATGGCAGAGGAGGAAGAGGAGATAATTCTGTACCTCGTGTCAGACATCGCACCCACATCCCTGACATGCACGGCACAGCTGAATAGCTCTACATTCATGCTCTGATGATTCTGTTTTGTGTGAGGATTAGAAGATCTAGGTTGCCCCCCATGTCAGCGCCCAGCGGTTATTACAGGCGAGGCGGAATCAGTGCTCAGTCATCCACACCAGCAGGTGCCGCCACTCGCTGAGATAAGTGCATGTTTGCTCTTTTATTTTCTTCTTCTTTGACTGCCGAGATACACGCTTTCTTTGACACTGCCAAACACGCCCTGCCTAACACACCTTCTAAATTCATTGCTGGCAGCCCTAGAAGTGACTGCTTTCAAAACTCATTACAGTAACTTCACTTTTACAATTAATATAGTTACAATTTAATTATAACGGTTTAGAATTTATAATGGTGTGTGTGTGTGTGTGTGTGTGTGTGGATTGGGTTTATATTACATTGTGGGGACCAAAAATGTCCCTCAAAATGTGATAAAAAACTGTTATTTTAACATTGTGGGGACCATTTTTCAGGTCCTCACCAAGATCTGTGAATGCAGTCAAAAACTAAAAATGCCAAAAGTCTTGTATTTTGTTTGGTAACTTATGGTTAAGGTTAGGGCTGGGTAGGGGTTAAGGTCATCATGTTGGAATTATAGTTTTCACCCATAGAAATGAATGGAGAGTCCCCACAAAGATATACTGTAAATACAAAACTGTGTGTGTGTGTGTGCGTGCGTGTGTGTGTTTCTCTCACCAGCGGGTCCCCCTCTGTGTCGCTCTGTGACATCTGCTTGCAAGTGGCGCCCTCTTTGGCAGAGCTGTACCCGTCATATCCCACGTCCTCTGGCCGCAGTTGGAGGAGGGCCTGTCCATCATGCTGCAGGGGGGCGGGGCTCCAGGGGTACGTGTCCATCACCCACCTGGAAGGGTCCTCCCACACGGCTCTCTTACCATACAGCTGGGGAACAGAGGCATTTACATGAGGGGATGAAACAGGGGCTCCAGCCCCTGCTGCTCACCTTACAAGTACGGGGATCCGAGCCACTAGTACCTGCAGCCCCTCCCTCACGGCCTCCAGCAAATAGGGCACTAGCGAGTAGTTCCACAGGTCGGTGAACCACACCCGTGAGCCATCAACGTCCATGGGGCAGGACAGGAAGAGCCGGGGACCTGTGAAGGAGGCGCCATCTTAGGGACCCTGTTCTACAGTGGTGTTTGCTATGAGCCCTGGTGGTCACAATCAGTTACTACACCTAATATTTATATTTAGGAGATGCTGAAGTAGCATGTTCTGCTAACCATCTAGCTAGTTATGATCCTCTTACTGTACTTACTCTCTATTTATTTAGTTTTTGGAACATCTGCCCTACTGGTACAGACTTGGAATCTCAGTTAAGGATTGTTAGTGCTACTGCTGATATTTAAATAATTCTGCATGTATCTATTAAACACCAGCTGTACACATATGGTAGAGCCTGACTCCAGGAAGCCCCATCACTAGTATGTGTGGTCATGTGACCACTGACCAATGGTGACGTCAGATGAGCTGTGTGCCTCCAGGAAGCCGTTGAGGTGCTGCCAGGCTTTGGGGATCCAGTCGATGACCTTGCTGAGGTCGTTGCTGCGCCCGCTCTCGATGAGCTTCCGTCGCAGGAAGCGCCCCAGGAAGCCCTTAACCGGCTCCGTGTGGTTGGCACAGAGCACCCATCTGAAAGTCGTCACCAGGAGGCAGGATAATGCAACACAACGAAGGCAAGAAAGCTTAGATTTAATAGTCCGTGTAATAAATGGTCATTACATAAAGTACATTGCTTTAGTATGGGCTGCATTAATATACGTAGGAATTTTATACAACTTAGTATTCATTTCTTGAGACATGTTTTACTTTACAGACTTTCAAGATTTAATGGAAATATAAAGAAGTATATTCTTACACACTCACAAGAAATTGCAAGTCTGAGAAATTTATTTGGAATGTAAAGTGTAAGATCTACTAAATCACCCAAAGCAGCTAAATATTTAAGGTTATAAACCTCTTTCCTAGAGACAGAAGTGGGCTGCTCAGGTTCAATAGCTCGGTGTGACTAAATGAAGGGATTACCTAGTGAACATGGAGGCATTTTCTGGAGGGGAGGTAACACACCTGAAATTGTGGTGGAGTTCCAGGTTGGGTGGGGATGACACACCTTGGTTCATGGTGCCTATGACATAGGGGCTGAGGAGAGAGTGAAACCCAGGGTACTGAGACAGAGGCAGTCAGACTGAGGGCAGCGAGGTAATTACTCGACCCTTCAGTTCCGCTCTGACATTTTTGCATTAATGTACATTTAAAATGAACCAATTCAGTGGAGCTTCTAGAATAATCATCAATGGGATGAGAGTCTGCAAGCTTTATGTCCCAGAAATCCATGGAATCCCCCCTGTGGTTCTGAACCACTCTACTGAAAATCCTCGGATCCCCCACCGTGGACACACCCCCGTCCAGCAGGTGGCGCTCACCATCGGTGGTACTTGCAGTTGAGGAAGCCGTTGAAGATGTCGCTGAGGGAGCCCACGTGGTGCAGGTTGTCCAGGATGACTACCTGAGGGAGCTCTGACTCGCTGTGCTCCGAGTTGCACTGCTGCGCTAGGGTGGACAGGTACTGCCGCAGGTCCTGCAGACACACGCACACGCATACGCGTCAGGAGGGCCAAATACCTTCATGGATACCGAGCCTGCGCATACAGCCACGTCATATAATATGCGTCCAGTAACTTTGAAGAGAAACAGAGAAGCAGGTGTGGAAGGCTGGTAGGATAGGGAGATACGGGCCATAGCGCCGGCTATGCTTCTTAGCCTGGGCGGATACATGCAGTTGGGTGAGAATAAGTAAGCGATGGAATAGAATCGTCTGGTAGACAGAGATTTAGAGTATGTAGGAAAGAGAGAAATGAGGCTTTGGAGCCATGATTTAGGGGGATTATGATGGGCTGTTGATTCTGGCTCTGCTTTACTGGGAATCTCGAGGGTGTGAAAGGAATGAGAACTGGCCCCCGCTTTCAGTGTATGATGATCCCACCAGCTATGGCATCCAAAGCCTCCTTTCTCTCAAGTTCGGCACGGGTCCGTGAGAAACGGCTCCTTTTCTAGAACCGGGCTCCCCCACCTTGCTGGACTTGTGGTCCACGTTAAAGCTGACCACGTTGCGCTCAGTGACCTGGTGGCCCGACTTGGTGATGAGGAACTCCGCCAGCTTGCAGGCCAGGTAGGACTTGCCGGTGCCGCTGGGCCCGGACAGAATGATGCGCCGGTGCTCCACCAAGAGGTTCAGGTACCGCTGCATGATGGTCTTGGGAATGAGTGTGTCGAACACCAGGCTGTCAATGCTGTTCTCTCTCACACCTGGGCGCATGGAGAAGGACCAGAACTGAGCATCCAATATGCAGGGGAGGGTTTGCTGTTTCTGGGGCCACAGTCAAAAAGTCACTTCCCCTATGCCCACCTCAGATGTTTCAATAACTAAATAACTAGAAAGTACAGCCAGAAGACTGCAACTAGCTAGCAGGTTAGCAGAACATGCTGTTTCAGCACCTCCTAAATAAAAGAATGTGTTTATTTGATTTTAGTGTAGTGACTGTTTGTGGCCAAGAGGGGGCTCCCAACCTTTAGGGGACTAAATGCGTGGCTTGAGTAGTGGTAAAAATCACACAACACGCAGAACACACAAAAACAAAATTCCTATTCTGTGCGTTATGTTCTTGACTCTATGGGCTAAACGACAGGCAAACACAAAACACATTAAACAAAAGGTCATCATTCATGCTGACAGATTAGCTGTCCTGTGTAGCACCGAGTTGAATCAACGCAAGACCTTCTCCTCCCGTACTCCAAGAAGCCTACTGCAAACCACCACAATCCTTCACATAAAACAAATACATTACGATTTAATCCCCATGCTGCTGAAACAAGTGTCAGCGACAAGCGATCTTAATTAGCTGAACACAGGCCAAAGATTTAGAAGAAAAATCATCCTTAAGTGATTTCTATTTAGAAAAAAACATAGAATTTGCAGCTGAGTAGCAAGGTCAGACTAAGCAGAGAGGGAAGCACTCATGCTGGAGGCTGAAATAATGCTTGGACAGTCTAGCAGCCCATCAGAAGTCTATGTCCTGACCTCTTTAACGGTGCAGACAGCAGTAGATGGCAATTAATCTCAGAGGGACGTGAGTAATGGCCAGCCAGTACAATGCAATATAGGACCAAACAGTGATTATCTAGTGCTGAGAGGTAATGCACTTCATCGACTGCGCATGAATCGCAGACAACATGATTGACTGTTCACATAAAAACATGAAAATAAAGTGTCAAAGTGACAATGGTTTCTAGAAGTTGACCTCAGTCATGAGCAGCATGAAACACAGGGATCATTTAATTTCTAAAGTAAACATGTGCACAAGCCTTGCAAACACTGTGTGATGATACTGAGCGACTGCCGTACATTGAAAATTGGTGCTTTTTCCTTGGTACTCCACTGTAACTTTGGGTCACACGGGCTGCACAGATTTCTGAAAACCGCCTGAACGCCCGGACTGGGGCCCAAAAAGAGGATGAGTTCGGGGGACCCAGACGTACAGTAACCCTAGTCAGACACCTTTCAGCAGCCACTAACATGCGGGTTTAGCACTCCTGGTAAGTTTCTGATGGGTCTAGGTCCGGGTTGGGTCAGGCCCCTACCTTTGAGGCTGACAGTGATGACGTTGTTGTCGCCCACCAGGTAGCCACACGGCAGCAGCTCCGGCACCTCAGAGCCGTGGGCACGCACCACGTCGCCCAGCCGGTAGCCCACGATGCTGTCCGAGGTCAGACCCAGACTGCTCAGAGGGTCCACACGGAACACGTACTCCTGTCATGGTGTAACAGCAGTCATAGGGTTATTGGGCCACTTGCCCGTTTCCACACACACAGGGTGAATTTGAGGCGTGGAGGGTCTCTTACTTTGAACAGGCGCCTTATTACTCCATCCAGAACGTCCCATTTGGTTTTCCCGCTCACGCCGATGGATCCCATAAGATACTCCAGGCATTTTGCACCCTGGTTAAACAAGGAGCGGATTCAGCCATTGACCACAAGAAAAATTAAAAGTGTCGACCGACAAACAAAGGGAGTATGTGATTGGTGGGTGGCCCAGTGTAATGTAACACAGCAGCCCATTGGCTCTGGTCTGCATTAGCACTAAGCCGTGGGCCCTTGGCCACACCTTGGTCCTCCTGGAGCTGCTGGTGATAGCGACCACGATGCGCACGCTGCGGCCCTCCTTGCGTAGGTTGCCCTCACTCCCGTCGTCCAGAAGGATATCTGAAATGTCCAAAGCGACAGTCAGGTCTAACCAAAAGGACGAAGCAAGTTCCTGCTCCATTATGAAGCTCTGAGCCACACAACGCCAGTCACACAAATTCACAATAGAGAAGTGATTCATCCATCCATCCATTCATCCATCCCTCCATGCAATCTATCCATCTTCTGACTGCTTTTGCTGGTCGGGGTTGCAGGAAGGCAATACATTCTATTAATTATTTATCTTCTCATTAGGAGAATTAAGTAGCAGCTCTGTTTAATATAGGAAATGGATCCCTGCTGATTACTCATAACAAAGATAACAATGTGTTGTTAGAAATGCATGCTGTGAGCCGCGCCGTAATGTTGAAGGTAATCCTACAGGCATTATTTCTGCTTGGATTGGAAGATGAGGTCAGTGTGAGCACCTCACACACACAGAGGAGCTAATTACCTTCTGCCTTCAATTAGAACATCCCCCCCCCCACTCTGCAGATATTCCAGACCAATCCCTTGATTCCCTCCAGCGATCGTGTGAAGTGGGGGTGGCACAGTGGCACAGTAGGTAACACTGTTGCCTCACACCTCTGGGTCCAAGGCTTAAGTCTCCACCCTGGCTCCTTGTGTGTCCAGTTTGCATGTTCTCCCCGTGTAGTTGTGGGGTTTCCCCCCCCACAGTCAAAAAACATACTGAGGTTAATTGGAGTTTCCAATTTGCCCATAAGTGTGCATGTTGTGTGACTGCACCCTGTGATGGGATGGTGCCCCATCCTGGATTGTTCCCTGCCTTGTACCCGTAGCCCCAAGGATAGACTCTGGACTACCCGTGACCCTAAAGTGGTTACAGTAAGTGGATGGACGTAAAATGAAAAAAATGACTTGATTTAATTCTCTTTTCTCTGGACATCAGACAGATCTCGGAACCCTTGATAACAGGGCAGCATCCCCAGGTGGGAGGTGCAGGGAGTGCGGCGTTGCCATAGAAACACCATACCTCATACTTGTAATGGGAGCAGATAAGAAGGTGGGCAGACATGTAGGGTTAGGGTTAGTGTGGACGGTGGCCCCGCCCCTCACCTGACACGATGGTGTCGCTGATGTTGAGGTTGTTCAGCGACATGCCCAGCGACTGGCGCGAGGAGGTTGAGGAGGTGCTGGAGGTCTCTGATGGTGGGCGGGCGGCCTTGGCCGGCGTGGCGGTGGGTGTGCTCCCCCCGGTGGACTTCAGCCGGTCATTCTCAGCCTTCAGCGTCTCGATCTCGTTCTGATGGGGAGACAAACCACGTGCGTGAACAACTCCAGAGCTAAGCCTGCTTAAATCCAGACATTTATGATTTTGATAGTTACTTCATTTGGTCATCAGCCTTTTAATCAATTTTCCAACCCAAGAAGACCAAGGTACATAATGAAAGCTCACAGATGCGGGAGATAAGGAAAAGTACCAGGCACCGTACATGTTACCTTTCCTATTGTGTGAGAGGTGAACCATCCCAAAGCCGTGTGATGGTGTGACTTTGTTGAAACAGACTTTTATTGTGAAAGGCAGGAACAAAGAGCAGTGTGGGCTGATTCAGACACAGAGGAGCCACCTGTCACCCAGGGCAATGTTGTGCTAGTCCTTCCAGACAGGCAGACATGGCATTTGAACGTAACATTAACCTACTCTGACAGCGAATGCCCCCCCCCCCCCCCCCCCCCCCCCCCCTGATGCAGACATGCCCTCCAGCTAACATAACATCCCAACCCACAGGGAGATCGGACAGAGGCCTTTCACACAACAGAAACTTTTTTAGGAACCAGGAACTTCTGTCACGTTTCCACCGATGGAACTCAGCCTGATTGAAGTTCCTGGGAGGTACTTCCTGAACATTTTTTTTTGTTCCTACTCTGGGGTAGCTGATTTTCGTTTGACCAAGAACTACTGGATGGGGCTTATGGACTTGAATGGTTGACCACAAACCCCAGAACTAACTTGGAAGTTACGCAGAAAGGCGGGGAAAAGAGAGAGTAGAGGGAATTGTTTTGTATTCCAAATACAGGCAGTCCCTAGGTTATGAATGAGATCTGTTCCCTAAGTCTGTCTAAGTCAAATCTGCAGGCAAGTCAGAAAAATAATGAGACTATGTTATAATTATACAGTAATAATAAAAGTAAAAACATTTGGTACTGTACTGTACCTGGAGCTGAAGAACCACTGAAACTGCACGATGTTTTCATGAGCATCACAAAATTGTTCATGCATTTCTTATTATGAACGACTGTATTTACTTTTTAATATAATAGGCTTTATGAGTTGTCCGTAAGTTGGACATTCTTAACCCAGGACCAGTCTGTACAGTAAATGAATCAATAAATACCTTTTGCTTGTGTATCCATTTTTCCACAAAGTTCACTGGCTTTTCCTTAAGTTTTTTATAGTGGTGCACTGATATGGAAATAGTGAGTGTTATAGGGCTGAGTTGAAGGTGCGCCCTCGCCCCACCCCCCGGCTGCGCCCCCACCCACCTGCATGCGGTTCATGGCCTCGCGGATCTGGTCCAGGTGGTGGGCGGAGCTCAGGGCCTCCAGCCGGATGTCGGTCAGTTTGAGCTCCTTCTCCCGCAGCTCGTTCTTCAGCTGCAGGATGATCTCGGCCTCTGCCTCCGTGCACTCGCACAGTCTGAAGGGAGGGACACGCGTGTTTTCACGTGGCCAGCAGAGGGTGTCGTGGGCAAGCGAAACCACAATCCAGGGTGGGGTGAGACTGACCCGAGCGCTACGTCAGTAGACTGTACACTGTGCGTCTACAGCTCGTGACTGATTGGAGGTTAAGCAAAAGCAAGCAGGACACAGGCAGGTCACACGGTCGGTCATCTTCAACCAGCGACAGGCAGCCCACAATGCACAGCAGCATCCAGCTGCTAATCTCAAACCCAGGCGGCGTGTGGCTCAGTGAGTTAGAGGACTCTGCCTGTCATTGATCATGGGTTCATGGGTTCAAATCCCTGGGTTAGCAGAATAATGTTACAATCGGGCTCCTTAAATCCCCATCACTCCAGGAATTATGTGACCCTACTTCCTGAAAACCGTGCTTTGGATAAAAGTGTCTGCTAAATTAAAGCAAATGTTAGCGTTACCATCCGCAGAAAATAGCCACCAAAGCCCTAGGATAGAAGTCGGGGGACAGGCTAGAACCCTTGCTGATGGACATGTGAGGCATTCCCCAGTGTTAAAAAATTACTATTGTGGTGGGAGGTGATTTGCTAAGTGGCTAACAAGGGTTGGGGGTGCCCAGCAAGGATGGACACCCAGCTGGGAACAGGTTCTGTCGCTGCACAAGGAGGGTGTGGTCACCCCTGCCTTTTCAGCTTCAGTACCATGTTGAGGTGTTAAGGTGAGGACGTGGGCGGGGTCATGTGACCACACGCATGGTGTTAGGAGGCAGGCAGGTGAGAGAGACACTCCCCACGCAGGACCCATGCAGCGTGTTACCGAGATCTGTGCTTGTAGATCACGTGACCATTTTGCCTCCTCTTTGGCATCCAAATGGGAGAAGACTTGCTATCGCAAAAACACTTGCTACAGACAGACAGAGAAGTGAAGGAGAGAGTGAGTGAGCGAAAAAAGAGGGAGTGAGGCTGAGGAGGAATGAAGGACAGGAAAACGGAGAATAAAGAGCTGGGCTGCGTGAGGTTTGGGATGGCGCTGGAATGCCGGGTGTCTGTCGTGTGTGTGTGCATGTATGTATGTGTGCGTGTGTCTGCGTGCGTGTGTGTGCATGTATGTGTGTGTGCGTGTGCGCATGAATGTGTGTGCGTGTGTGTGCACATGCGTGTCTGTGTGTGTCTGCGTGTGTGTGTGCGTGTTTGTGCGCATGCGTGTGTGTGCGCGCGTGTGTGTGTGCGCATGCGTGTGTGAGCGTGTACGCATGCGTGTGTGTGTGTGTCTGCTGTGTGTGGACAGACTCACTCTGAGCTGGAGGGCGAGGCTCTCAGGTTGGACATGCTGCCCTGCCTGGCAGCGTGCTGCAGCTTAGGCGACGACGGCTGTGAGGAGTCCGTCTGCTCCTCGATGTCCGAGTGCGACGACGGCGGTTTGGTCGACTTCTTCTTGCTACCAAAGGCCTGTTTGAAGGAGCTGCGGAGCTGGAGAGACAGAAGGTGCCGCACGGGTTAGTGGACGGAGCTGACTCCCGGGGCTCTGCGTGTGGCATGGCTCTCTGGCGCTGCCACAGGTCAGCGGGGGGGGGGGGGGCATTTTTCAGGCTGGGGTACGTGCTCAGCGCTATGTGGGTCAGCCTTCAGAGTTGGTATCTATGCCTGTAATTGGAAGGTCGCTGGTTCAAATCCTGTGCTGATTGGAATAAGGCCCTTATCCACCTGCAAAACGCCGGACGAACACCTGACCTAATGTTCCCTAAGCTTCACTCTCGCTACTATATGCGTGTGTGTGTCTTTAAAAATAGAGCATGATGGGATATCTAAAAAGAAGCATTCCAGTGTACCTGTACCCATACTTGTAAAATGTCAAATAAAGCATCACTTCAGGGGAAGAAAACTACTGCAGAGGATATTGGATTGGATATTGGAGTTGGATTTCCAACCCCCAGAGCTCGCTTCTGACTAAAGCTGCCTGCCCGTTTGGATGAAGTACGGATCCAGTCCTGAAAGCAGGTAGGACTTTAAGTTCAAAGGCGAACGCCTCTCCCGTCTTTGCCCCTGCTCCTGTTCTTTATACAGACTCCATGACGAGCGCTGATTCAGTCTCATGATGCTGAATGCGATTTTTGCTTCCTCACAGACACTCAATCAGATTCTCCAAATTGGCTCGATGGCGTCGGTGCAGTGAGGACCATTCTTGCACTGTTCTTGCAAAGGTACCGAGGAAGGTGCTGTTTCGCTGTCTGTGTAACTAATCACCAGGATGTTTGCTTCCCCCTAATGCAAACCCTAATGTGAGCAGCGCGGCTCACATGTGTACAGCAGACAGCGATGAAAGCGTGACCTTGTACACAACCATCTGTTCCAAGCTCGCTCACCGGCAGTGCAAAGGATTCTGGGTAATGCCACTCATTACATGTTTGCAACTGGGTTGTTTTTTTTTTGCATGCTGGATTTATCTCATTACAATCAGCCCATGTGCCTGAAAGAGGGAGCTGTGAGATTTCTCATGCCGGGGTGCCGAGGGTCGGGCTGGCCAATGGGGCCACTTTGCGCCCCCCCCAAAAAGAAACCCTTAGAGAGTACACCAGCTCGCCACCGCCAGGTCTTCAGTATGACCCCTTTGCTCTGGCCTTTAGTCCCCCCACTCACCCAGTTCTTCTTCTTCTTCTTCTTCGCGTCCACGTCGGTGGCACTGCCCACACTGGAGTGGCTGGCACCGCTGTTGATACTGGACATGCTGTCGGAGGAGTGTTGCCGGCGGATACGCAGGTCTGGGGGGGGGTAGGGAGGGCATAAATAGCTCCATTAACTCAAACTTCTGCTTAAGCTCAATTGTGGGTTATGGGTGTCCCATCAAAGCACGGGCATAGGTGGGCCACCTTTTCCCACAATGCCGAGCGGTGCCTCTGGACTGGGAGGAGCCTACCTTTCTGGGCGTGGTCTGGGCCGTTGAGGGCCACTTGGATGGCCGTCTGCGCGTCCGTGTTCTGGGTCTTCAGCGCCTCGATGGTCTCCCTCAGCTCGGCCAGCTCCGACTCCTGGGGACACACGTATGCAGGCGGTCAGCACGCTGAGGCCCCCAACAGGCTGCACAAGGCATCTGCACGTGGGAGGCTCAATAATGAATTGAAATTTAAAGTTTTCACTGCAATTGGTCATAGTCATCTTGATATATTGTTTGAAATTAAACTCACTTAGCAGGCTAACTCTCAAAGAAAGGCTAATCTATGTGCATGACTGACCTAATCCAGTTTTCATCACGGCTCTCAACTGTGCCCCCCCCCCCACCCCACTCACAGAAACCTGAGGTCAGCTTTGGAGAGCACTACGACCATTGACATTTAATGCTCATTATACTACAGCCCTGCTGAATTCTCGAACCTGATTGGTCAGAAGGGTGTTGATTAGTTTCTATAACCACAGACATAGTGCAAGCGGGGTAGTAAATCAATGCATGATTATAATCTTTAAAACTAACAAATGTTGCTTTAAATCCCAGATAGAATTATAAATAAATGGAAACTAAGCAAAATGCACGTCATGCACGTCGGGCCATCGCTCACCTCCACTGCAGTGCGTTTAAAGACGTTTAACACACGGCTTGTCATGCATTAATCCTTACTTATGCGCCATCCCCAGTTACGCTACATTCTAACCGCCATGCAGACGGCAGGTCGTAGGGTCGCTCTGCGGCCGCGATAGTGTTTCCCTTTTAATCAGATGCCTGTCTGGCTCCTCCACCGACTCAACAAAGACGACCCTCACAAATCCCAGTCATTCAATTTAACGGGGATTAAACGCGCCGAGGGCCCCCCTGTGCGGCTACCGTGGCCCCGACGGAAGCAGGTGAGCAAATCGCACGCTGTCTCAGGCAGGTGCAACTTAAGCGCCCCCCCCCCCCCCCCCCCCGGCTAACCCGCGTTTCTGTGCCCAGGGCTGTCTTGTTTGAGGTTTCCAGATGTAATCGCCTGCGTGGCGAGGACCTGCAGCGTGTCACCTGAGTAACCTGGGCTGACCGCTTTTCTGCCCGTATTTAATTAAATCACCACTGTGCATTCTTTAGCGCATTAGTGCTGGTCCTGAGGTTCAGGTTGGAGCATAACCTACCTTACCCTACAGGCCGGAATAAGGTAAACAATTAAAGGATTTAAGAAGTTATACCTCGGAAACAGATCAACACAGCTGGGTGGAAAAGATAACAAAGGCTTTGCATGATAGTGGGTTTGGTAAACTTTGCTGTTGCCATGGTATCTCTACTTTCACTAAGTGACATCTTTTTCAGTTCGTACCTTCAGATTGTCTCAAGATGAATCATAAACATAGTTACGTTAGAAATGGGAATCCAGCTGTAGCTGAAGTTGGGATGAGCTGGGAAAATGTGAGTCAGAAGCTTGTTGGTTCAAGATCCCTTGGGAATCAGCTGAGAAGGACGTGAGTCAGAAGCCTGTTGGTTCAAGTCCCAGGCCGAGCTTCGGGGTCGTGACCCTGAGCATGGCACTTAACCTCATGTGTGAAAAGCTGTCAGGTGTGAGGGCAGGTGATGGGATGTGACCCACCTTCTGCTCGGCCGTCATGGTCAGGCTCTGCAGGCGACACGTCATGTTAGCCAGGCTCTTCTCGAAGGCGGCCACCAGGTGAGCCTGAAGAAATGATTACATGACACAGTCAGCGCATGTAAGGGACGTGTGGTCTCAGTGCCCGGGGGTTAACATGCACCAACCCAACCATCAACCTGACCCCATAAGCCAGCTGGGGAGATTTCTATGTCTATATGACTTTTAAAAATGTAATTAACTTAAGCTAATTGTACCATGACTGAACAACTGGTTGCCCACCCACAAACATAAAGCCTGTAAGAAAGTGATAAACTTCTAATGGCAAGATTAGACACCCTCTGGAAAGACAACTAACCTCACTGATGTTTTTCTTTTTTCTAGCCAATACCTGAGGCTGAAGCTTTTATGGGTCAGGCTCAAAAAATCAGCTTTATATCCCAGGCAGGCGGCATCCCTCCCGGGGGACAGGGGGTCACAGCCTGCGATGGATTAAGAGCCGCAGACCCGGTGCTGTTATTGGAAAATGGGCCGTCCAGCCACGGCCGGCCCGACACCTGAGGTCACTCCAGCACCTCAGTGTGTCCACAGCGCTATTCTGATGCAGGGCTCTCATCACGCCCAACAGGATTACAGCCTCCTGGGAGACGTGATGCCCAAACAGAAGAGGGAGTGTCTAGACAAGGGGGGGCCACAGATGAAAGCTGATAGGCCCCCAGAGGGCCCCCATTCTCTGTCACTCACTGATTCAAAACGTATCTTTGGTTATTGATAAGGTTGACAACTCGGTATCAATTATGCCCCCTACCTTCCAAAGAATTGCCCCTGGATGGGAGGGACCTGGCCAGCCACCATCTTGGACATTACTGCGATAACTCATGACGGCCTTTCGCAGAATCCCCCCCCCCCCACCATAAATGTGTCGATTCTTTCTTTGGCGACTGACCTCAGCGGCATCTCAGTCACTCAAAAAGTTGCCGAAGGACAGTTTGGTCACTGAGTCACAAGTCAAACATCAAGTCACTTCGCAAAAGGTCTCCAGCTATTCACAACCTATCCGTCGATTTACACTCAAAAGGAACAAGCAATCTATGGAAGCCACCATGATTACTTGGAAATCAACAGGCAAGATAGAAACAGATGTTAATTGGGAGAAAACGCTTGATGTGCATCACTCTCGTTACTGCCCTCAGTTCCAAAAGTGTCAGATTTCTCAGAAATCTGCCCAGATTTTCCAATTCGACGACTGCCGCGGGGCTTTCATGGACACCACTGTCCGAAAGCAGCTGCTCGGGGAAAACCAAAGGGCCAGACATTACACGGAACGCTCCAGTAACTCTGTACTTAAAACAGAATATTATACAAGAAGTCTGAACAACTGGTGCATTATTAAACAGTCCGTAGGAAGGACAAAAGCGAAAACAAAACCCACCAACAATGATGACAACCACAACGAGCAGCGCACGCGTTTGATAATGACGACAATTATGATGATGACGGGAATCCAGCTTTGAGGTGAAGTCTGTGCTCAGGAGTTGAGCTGGTAGCCATCAAATCCCACAGCGTTAGAGCTCTGTCATAAGTCTGCAGTTGTACTACTGAAATAATTCTTACATGTTGTCCAATTTGGAGCCCTATCCATGGTATCATATTAGTGCTCCTGGTCTCCCAAATTTATACAATCCAGAATGATGTGAGTTCATTTTCGGACCCTGCAGCACAAAGCCAAACCACGCCCGCTTTCGAAAGCTCCTCCATGACTTTTTGCCCTTTTTATGCACGCGTCAGTCAGGGTAATGGACCACAAGCAGACCCCGTCCCAATCCCCCCTGCCGCGCCCCACCTGCGTCACCCCTCACAGCTTCCCCACCTGTCTGCTCCGCAGGGGGGGCCGTGGAGCCAGATGCATGCCCTGCCGTGGTGCTGCCCGTGACGTCCCGGGCCCCCGGGGGCTGGGGTAGCGGTTGAGCGGGGCCCAGGGCAGAGGGCCTGGGGGGGAGCTGCCCCTGCTATCCGACGACATCCTGCTGCTCCTCACGTGGGAACCGGGGCAACTGAACCACCCATGAGGCAGCAGCAGGAATGAGGAGGGAGGGAGGGGCGGAGAGAGGGAGCGAGGGAGAAAGGGAAGGCCAAAGAGAGAGAAAGAGCGCGCACGTGTGTGTCTGTGTGTGTGTGTGTGTGTGTGTGGATTATGTTTATATTACATATTTCAGGTCCCACAAAGATCTGTGAATGCAATCAAAAACAAAAAAGTCTCATATTTTGTTTGGTTACTCATGGTTAAGGTCAGGGCTGAGTAGGGGTTAAGGTCGTCATGTTGGGATTAGAGCTTTCCCCATAGAAATGAATGGAGAGTCCCCACAAAGATATAATTATAAACCTTTGTGTGTGTGTGTGTGTGTGTGTG